CACATCTCAAATGACAAAGGAATATACACAGATAGACACTTAAGTTAAACAGAATGAAGGCTGTAACAAAATCATTCTAAATCCAGAAACAAGAGCTGTGTTAACTCTCTGATAAAAGGGAAATCATTATGTAAATCATTAACCACTAAGAAACCTCCTCACACCCTGCAATGCACATCAAATTTTATTGCAATTGTGTACAAACAAAATTGGACACAAGCTGATATATTCTGATACCATTTTATCTAGTCTATGCACTCTGGGTACTCAATAGCTCTATATGCTTATTACATTATATTTGTCCTTCTTGGAGTGGTTATAATCATAAAAAGCTATCCAGTACCTTGAATGGACTGGATAATTAGAATTACAATGACTGCCATCTGAATACACTGTGTGTGTCACAATTTCCTTTAAGTACATTCTTCTACTCATTGACACCCACTCTCCTACCCTGCCTTGTACTAAAAGGCTGCTCTCCAAGGCACAGATAAGTTTCTTGAGCAAAGTTAGGCTTATCTAAACCAATTTCTTGAATTGATATATGAGGTCTCTAATATTTCATCAGGTTCTGTTACTTGAATCTACTATATTTCTTTTATAACCATCTTATTCTATTCAGAAAGTATATAAACTTTTGGTTGAACTTGATACAAGTCTGTTTTGATATGTAGATAAATGAAAAGTAAACACTTTACATAGTGATTTCTTACTCCTTTGTATTAGACTCATTTTCGTATTAACTATATACTGCTGCCTAATACGTTCTTTTCAGAAGAAACCATGTCAGACACAGCAAGGAAGCTACTCTGGGGCTAGTAGTAGTGTTTCCATTTGGAAACAATTACTCAAAACAGAATGAAATCATCCTGTCTATTTAGGGATGAAGGGACAGACATCATTTATTATGGCACCTTTTAAGAATATCAGAAACCAATGATAGTACACCACTGTCACAGCTGAGGCCAAAGCAATCTATTACCTACAGATGAAGAACAAGATTTAACCTCTACTTTGGTTTTTTCTTTCTCAGTTTACTATGTATTTCATTCTCAGATTCATAAAAATTAAGAACATGCACATGTACATACACACACACTTTTATTAGATTTACCCAGAACTATCTCTCACTCACTTTAATAATTTTGGACCCTCCTGGGAATTTCCAGTTACAATATTTGAGAAGGTTGTTAAGATGTTCCTGTCTTTTGTTTTCATAATCATGTTTATCTAAAACATTAATTTTCCACACATTTTCCATTTTAATAGAATTACTAATTTTTCTAACCTATGAAATGTCATATAAGCAATAGGGTGGTAAAAATAAGGAATATAGTAAGTTCTTATTAAAAAAGAAATCTTTAGATGCTTTCTTAGAGAAGATCTTTTGAAAGATAGAGGCATGACTTCCCTTTCCAGCAACATAGCTGACTGTATGTATAGAGAAATCCATCCTCATGATGACTATCAAAAAATAATGAATAAAACATATTTTTAATTCTTTTAGAAGTATGGTTAAGCTGGAAGTAAAGTACAGAAAATAACTGGAGGCAAGAATCTTTAAGAAAGAACCCTTTCCAGGGATGAGCAAGCTGTAGAGCTGATGTTTGCCCTCTGGTAGGGTGACCATAGAATTTGTTACCCAAACCAGGACATTTTTTGAGTAAAAATAATTAACCTGTAACAAACATACTTTTGCAGGCATACCAAGATATACGATCACACTACCCTGAGGTTATTTGCTGATCCCTGGCAACAGTTTGGATTTTAGCAGGCCACATGTGTGCATGGGAAAAACTTAAAAAAAAAAGCCTGGGGTCTGAACAGGGTGAGATGTTGAGCCAGAGACTCCTGAACAAAGCCCAAGCTCAGAAAGGGTGACACTTTCAGTGGGAAAGAAAGCAAGGGAGGAAGGGAGGAAGGGAGGAAGGGAGGAAGGGAGGAAGGGAGGAAGGGAGGAAGGGAGGAAGGGAGGAAGGGAGGGAGGAAGGAAGAAAGAAATCTGTCTTGTAAAAGGAAACAGCTTTTTTTAACTGGAACTTGACTCTTAGTAGAGCAGAAAAAATATTCCTCCCTCTTCTTTTTCACATATATAAGAAAAGAAAAAAAGGGAAAAATTTCCTTTGAAAATTCATAAGCACTAGTTTACTCTCATTTAGGTTTCAGGTCAGAATCCATACCATCAGGGTAGCCTGAAAAACCTGAAATTAAAAATTAGGTTTTAGGGCTTCCCTGGTGGTGCAGTGGATAAGAATCCGCCTGCAATGCAAGAGACACAAGTTTGATCCCTAGTCCAGGAAGATCCCACATGCTGTGTAGCAACTAAGCCCATGCGCCACAACTATCGAGCCTGCGCTCTACAGCCCACGAGCCACAACTACTGAGCCCCCGTGTCTAGAGCCTGTGCTCCGCAACAAGAGAAGCCACTGCAATGAGAAACCCGCCCACCACAACCAAGAGTAGCCCCCGCTCGCCCCAACTAGAGAAAGCCCGCATGCAGCAATGAAGACCCAACACAGCCAAAAATAAAAATTTAAATTAAAAAAAATTTTTTTTAATTAAAATTAAGTTTTAAATGATCTTTGGTTGGTAGACTGTCCTTCAGTGCCAGAGAGAAGCTAAGTCAGCCATAGAGGAACACACTTACATGCAGTTCTCAAATAATTCCCACAAAAAATTTCCAAGGAATATAAGCTCATACTAAAAAGAATCACTAAAAACATAAGGAAAAAAGCCTCAGTGAGTCAGTGTCAGCAGAAACAACAGCCTAATTTGACTAACCTAATACTGTAGATAATATAAATGAACATGCTTAATATATTTAAGGAAAGAGGAGACTGCAAGTATGATAAGGAAACACAAGAGTATCACAATTGACAAAGTATATTTAAGAAAACTCACACAGTTCCTCGAGAAATTTTTTAAAAATGTAATCTGTAAAAAATCTAATGAATAAGTTAACCAGAAGATCAAAGACAGTTGGAGAGAATTAGTAAAAAAGAAGATAGAGCTACAGAAATTACACAGGGCTTCCCTGGTGGCGCAGTGGTGAAGAGTCCACCTGCCAATGCAGGGGACACGGGTTCGAGCCATGGGCCAGGAAGATCGGGAATATCCCACATGCTGTGGAGCAACTAAGTCCGTGTGCCACAACTACTGAGCCTGCGCTCTAGAGCTGGCGCTCCGCAGCAAGGGAGGCCACCGCAA